AGATGTGTATAAGAGACAACATATAGCCTACATATTTTTTTAATTGAAGAGAAATATGTTTATATTCCATCCAATGTAATGATTATTATTTTTTTTTATTGTATTTTCTAATTATATACGTCTAGGCCTATGTATAAATTACTGTTTACAATCTAAGCAAATCTGAATATGAAGTATTAAGCTCTTTAAAAAAAAGTATGAAAGGTACAGTAGTAACTGGATAAGATAAGGGCAGGCATAGGTGTTTAATTGTGAAAATGTTTTTTTTTTTTAATCAATCAAATATGCTGTCCAAAACAAGGACAGCGTCTAAAATTTAATTTGTCTTTTCTAGTTATTTTTATTTTGTGTAGAGTAAATAAGGTCTTCCCTCCTTCCATGCATGGTGCGAATGGGCAGTGTGAGTAAAAAATAAATTAGGCCTATAGTAATTCATTATAGGCCTAGGCCCTATTTGGTTTTGTCCATCAGCAGGCACATGTCAGGGCCGGCGGAACGTTTTTCAAAGTGGGAGGTGGGGGACACTTATAAGATAAATGGGAATATGAATCATGCAGATCTGGAATCAAACCTAGGGGTGGGGGGGGGCAACATTTTTCCCAAAAACGAAAGGGGATCCGGGGGTCCTCCCCCTGGAAAATTTTAATTTCTAGATGGCGGGAAATGACCTTTCTCGACTTTTGAGCTAGGGTTCTAATGACTTCTTCAAAATTCAAGGTTTTCCCCCTCTTGAAGATGGTCAGATAAACTTTCTCATTCTTATTACAGTAAATTGTCCGGTTATGTGTGTATCATAAAAAAAAAAATTAGTAGTTGCATACGTACTCTTTTTTTCAATGAATCGATAAGCTCCAAAGGAAAGGGAGGTCCGGGAAAATTTTGATTCCTAGATGGCGGGAAATGAGCTTTTCCGACTTCTGAGGTGTTTTTTAAGTTCTTCAAAATTCAAGGTTTTCCCCTCTTGAAAACGGTCAGGTAATTTTTCCCATTGTTATTACAGGAAATAGGCCTTATGTGTGTATACATTCATAAAAAAAATGAGTAGTTGCATACCTATTCTTTTTTCAATGAATCGATAAGCTACAAAGAAAAGGGGGGTCCGGGGGTTCTTCCCTGTGAAAATTTTGATTCCTAGAAAGCGGGAAATGAGTTTTCCCGACTTCTGAGGTGTCTTTTAATTACTTTTAAGTTCTTTAAAATTCAAGGTTTTCCCCTCTTGGAAAATATTATAAAGAATCAATGAACCCAAAGAGAAAAGGGAGGTTCGGGTTCTTCCCGGGAAAATGTTGATTAAATGGTGGGAAATAAGCTTTCCCGACTTCTGAAATATCTTTTAGCTAGGTGTCTAATGACTTGGTTCTTCAAATTAATTCAAGGTTTTCCCCCTCTTGAAAACGGTCAGGTAAACTTTCTCATTCTTATTACAGTAAATTGGCCGGTTATTGTGCGTATACATACATAAAAAAAAATAGTAGTTGCATACGTATTCTTTTTTTCAATGAATCGATAAGCTCCAAGGAAAAGGGGTCCGGAAAATTTTGATTCCTAGATGGCGGAAAATGAGCTTTTTCGACTCCTGAGGTGTCTTTTTTTAATTTCTTCATAATTCAAGGTTTCCTCTCTTGAAAACGGTCAGGTAAATTTTTCCACTTGTTATTACAGTAAATAGGCCTTATGTGTGTATACATACATAAAAAAAATATTGAGTAGTTGCATACAATTTTTTTTTTCATAAATCGATAAATACCAAATAGAATTAAAAAGTACAATACCGTAGGCCTACTTAGTACTGTCACCGATAAATAGGCGTATGGTTCTACTCCATAAGAGTCATGTCATTTATCTATATATAGCCATTTTCAAACAAGGACTAACCCCCCCCCCCCACGGCTCACCGCTCATCGACGAATGGGGATATGAATGGGTTCAATTTTCGAGGGGAGGGGGACACAATTTTTCACAAGAACCCCAGAAAGGAAGGGGGTTGGGGGTTCTCCCCCGTGAAAATTTTGATTCCAGAAGGTGGGAAATGAGCTTTCCCGACTTCCGAGGTGTCTTTTAATTACTTTTAATTTTTTCAAAATTCCAGGTTTTCCGGCTCTTGAAATTGATTCAATGAATTAATGAACCCCAAAGAAAGAGGGGGTCCGGGTTTCCCCAGGAAAATTTCGATTTCTAGAATGCGGGAAATAAGCTTTCCTGACTTCGGAAATGTCTTTTTAATTACTTTTTAAGTTCTACAAACTTCAAGCCCTCTTGAAGACGGTCAGGTAAATTTTTCTCATTTTTTATTTTATGTGTGTATACATACATAAATAAATGAGTAGTTGCATGCGTATTATTTTTTCAATGAATCGATAAATCTCAAAAAGAATGGGTGGTCCGGAGTTCTCCCACGGGAAAATTTTGATTCCTAGATGGCGGGAAATGAGCTTTCCCGACATTTGAAGTGCGTTTTAATGACTTTTATGTTCTTCAAAATTCTAATTTTCTTATTGTAACATAAAAAAAAAAAATAAAAAAATTTAAAAAAAAAAACAGCTCACTGGTTCTGAAAAGGTAGGTCTAGAATTCTTTTTTTTCCCTTTTTTTTTGTTGCCCAGGGGTCAGGACCCATGACCCCCTTCTCCCAGATCCGCCAATGTGAATTGCGAGAAAATGTAACTCGGTCGGGGACTGCATAAACATTCTCTTTCCCATCCTTCTCCTCCTTCCCTCTTTCTTTTCTTGCATTTTTTTTCCGATCATACAAAAATCTCCGGACATAATATATTTTTTGCCAAAATGTGGGTGGGGGGGGGGCATGCCTTTCTAGATTGATGCTATTTTATATTTATTTTAACAAAAAGAGACTTACACGACACTTACAGAACAATTAAATTTTGAAAACGGGACAATCTGTCACCTGCACTCAGGCGTTTTTCTAGGCCTACTGTAAGTGGAAGCAGCTAACCTCGTCTCCAAAAACTGTACTTGGCCTAGCTTATTTGCCTAACTACTTTAGGCCTACTACTATTATGCCTAGCCTAGGTAGGCCTGGTTTAATGGAGAAAGGTCCCATATGAAAACAATGACAGCTTGAAATTGTCTTATTATAGTAATTGTTTTATAAATTAAACAAGTGTTAAAAGAAGCGTGGGATTTTGTGTGCCTCGCATGACTCGCACTGTTGGTACACGTCCCGCACGAATTACCGTCATGGCTCGCACGAATTGCATGCCTCGCTGCATGACTCGCTGGCTCGCACTTTGGCAACCCTCGATTTTACCCAACTTTACGAAGACTGTTATGGTACTTCTCCCAATCGTAAACATCGTTCGTTTGGCCAGAATTCAGAATGAGAGAATGAGTTTCTACAATCGTGATTATTAGTGTCAAACTTGTCGAATATACTTTTGATGCAGGCACATTTAAACAGTAAAGTGCTAGTAATCGTTTAAGAATCCTCTTATTTACAGTATATTTAGTTGGGTTTTTTTTAGTACATGTGTATTGTCATCATGTAAATAGATTAGAGTTAGACAAAGACTGAGTAGATGTATGTCAACTCTCTTAGGCCTATAAGCGAATTAAGAAATAATCACACCGCTCACCTCACACCACCTCGAGACAATGGCCGCGTATAATTCGACTGCGCAGTGGAAGAATCCTACTTAAAGAAGACGACCAGTCGACAGGGGTGGCGCCAGGATTTGCCGATAGGGGCCGGTGCCCCCGACGAGGGGGTCAGATTTCCCTGACGAAAGCAAAGTGGGTTGTTGTTCCCTCCCCCCCCCCTTTGTCCTGGATATCGGACCCCATTGGGCAAGTTTTGGCGCCGCCACCTCTCTTAATAGATCAGAGTTATGTAAATTGATGAAAACAAATGCAATGTAGAAAAATAACAAAATATTTATTGTAAACGTCAACCCATTCTCGTTACTACAATGTCAAAAAATCCTTCGCCTTTCATACCCTCGAGTGAACCTACAATGCTTTCATTTGTTCCAATATCTTTCAAAAATGTCACCTTTGGTAGAGCATCTTTCAATGGATTTACGGAAGAAGGCTTATCGAAAACTTGCAGTAGCTCATCAAGTATGGGCCTGTCTCTTATACACATCTAGATGTGGATAAGAGACAGGTACTACAATGTCAAAAAATCCTTCGCCTTTCATACCCTCGAGTGAACCTACATGAATATTTAAATGACTCTTCAGTACCCCTTACCTAAAATACAGTCATTAATCTCTAATACGTGTACAGTAGACACCTTGCATATATTAGTTGAGAGTGATATGTAATACGGTACTTAATTAGTTTTTTTTTACATTTTTTTTAATTAAATGAATATTGAGATTTGGACTATTCTATTTGATATCATTGCATAATGTTTTTTCTATTTATTGGTTACATTATGAAATAGAATAATTGACTATTGATGAGCTTCGGAATCCCCGGTCTGAGAGAACAACCACCAGGGACTTACTTTGAGTTACATAATCTTTTATTCATTAAAAATTACCAGTGCAATAGCATATATATCTCAGTGGTACAGGCTTTCGACTGCAACTCACAACCTTTGATTGAAAGCAATATTCAGACCGTATCACTACGTCATAATATATTTCCACTAAAAATGAAATTAATGTTGAATTTTTGTATGTGGTTATTTATATTCATAAAGGATAAAGATCATAATTTTGTTTTTACTATAAGCTATATTACCAACTACCGGTATGTAAATTTAATATTAATCCTTAGTTAAAAGTTCCAATGTTTTGATGTGTTATGGGATGAACGAATTATAATTTTCTCCCCACATAACATAAAATTACCAATAATTGAAATTGTAGGCAAACGATATCGTGTTGATGTTATGGAACGTCTTTGAACCTTATTTATAATTATTGTTTTTACTCTGATGCCATGACACATATTTGTACACGAGGATTCCCCTTCGTTGCCTGTCATCCCTTCACTGAGAAAAGTATAATGATATACATTATGAATTATAACATACTTCATAATAATAATGTGTAGAAATACATACATATACATAATATATACCATAATTAGGTCTGGGACTATATATTGCATATAATAATAATAAATAATATATAAAATAAAAATAATAATGATAATGACATGATAATATTAATAATCATTATAATAATAATCACAATAATTATATTGTAATAATAAATAAGAATAGTAATAATAATAATAATAATAATAATAATAATAATAATAATAATAGTTGATAATTATAGGCAATTCATTTACTTACAAATTAGTAATAATAATGTTGAAATCAAGTTTATGATAGGCACACGAGATGATATCGTAGGTGACAAATTCAAATATAAATCATTACAAGAAAATATGTCACATTGGATAACTGTGAAAAATTCTAGATTATAAATATTTAACTGATTAAGCCTACACATTAAATCATATATGTTTAGACAGCAAATGCATCTCTTAAAGTGGTCTGGATTTCTTGGAAAAATTTCTTCTTTGCTGAAGTAATATGCATGTGGCCTCCTGAGAGTACAGTCTTTTTGAAACGTCGATTGGATTGAATCTCCAGACACCAGGCATCCAACAAGGCTGGAGGAACAAATCGATCTGATTTGGCCCCTAATACGGTCATGCCACATTGAAGTTTCGTGGTGTGGGTGTTGGTGTACTTTTGGCAAATTTTAAAACCCACCCGAAAGCAAGGGATTAGGCGTTTCATCAGCTCAGGATTATTCAACGCCTCATCATCAAGGAATGACAGCCTCAGCGCTTTATTGTCGGATAGTTTAATGTTGTTCTTAATGTCTTGTTCCATCTGTCGTAATACACTTGGTGCTTTTTCAAGTTCAACCTCGTTTGGATAAGCTAACGTTGGAGCATACCAGGAACTGATGATGATGTGGGCTGGTCGGAGATTTCTCTCTATCAGGCGATGAGCAACTTCAAATGCAATTAGCCCTCCAAGACTGTGGCCAAATAGTACAAATCTACCAGGAATGAGCCTGGCAACAAGATGTTCAGTTAGATTGTTTGTTATTTCCTCGATTGTTTGAAGGGGCTTCTCCTGGTGTCGTCCTTCCCATCCGGGCAATTGTGCCATGATTAACTGGACATTATGTTTACCGAATTGGTTTTGCCACCAGGCGTATGTAGACGGTCCACCTCCATTCGGAGGAAAGCAAATGAGTTGGATCTCTGGGGAAACGACACTCTCGTCCATTATAAACCACGCCTTCCAAGATGTATCCTCTTCGTCTTCTTCGTCTTTATCCTGTCCGCCAAGCTGTTGTTCAGCAAGAATCTTTTTGTATATTGAAGATGATATAGCTTGCAGTGTTATGTTTGCGTTCATCAATTCCATTGACTGGACAAACACTGAAAAGGTACCTTGAATGACTCCACTCAGCTCAGTGGTCATCAATGAGTCTACACCAAGGGAAGATGGCGATGCATCCGGTGATATTTGACTAGTTATTCCGAGACGTTGTGAGATAAATCCACAAAGTGTATTGAAAATAAACAGCTTGGCCTCTTCTGGTTTCAGATGAGTGATGTCATTTTGTTGACTATCTCCAATATAGAGATTTAGTTCTTGTCGTGGTATATCAAATCCTTTTAGAATTGAAAATCGTCCACCGGGGCTGACCGTTATGTGCTCTTTAAAAAGAGATTTGCTTTCTCGGACAAAATCTCGGACTCTGACGTTACCACTCATACCCATTTCTGGTACACCGCTTCTAAGAATTACACCAAGTCCATTTAGTAGTTCTGTCGGTGCAAGACTTTCAATGCCTCTTCTCTCCCAAAATTCAACTAGACCAGACCTTGCGGCAAATCCATCGCTTCTGATTACTCCTGGACAGAAGACCGTGGCAGGCAAACCTTTACTTCTACGAAAATACCCAAGATTTGAAAGATATGTATTGGCTGCACAATAACTTGCCTGACCGCCATTTCCCATCAATTGCACCACAGATGAAATCATAACAAAGTATTTCAGCTCTGCTTTAAACTTGATTGAAGCCTGATGCAGCAAAAGACCACCCCATGATTTAGCCGACATTACTTTCTTCCAAATTTCTGGGGTGATGTCCTTTAGAAGTTTATCATCATATTGTGCAGCGCAGTGGAATATACCAGACAATGGATAGGACGCATCACTCGATACTCTTTTAAAAGCAAGGTCGACCTCCGATTTGCTTGTGATGTCAGTCTTGATATGGACTATTGATGTTCCGGATTTTCTCAGCTCATTCAAACGTTCAATTGCTTCAAAATCGGCCTCTGATCGACTAAGAATGTACACACATCCGGCACCATTAGCTGATAGCCATTCTACAACGCAGAGCCCAAACCCCTTGGTGCCACCGGTCACAAGATAAGACTTCTCTTTTTCGAACGCAATCTCTCCTTTCAGAAAATCATATGAGGTCGAAACTGGAGCATTGTCAACTGCAATTGTTACTTCATTAAAGGAAATGCTTTCATTTGTTCCAATATCTTTCAAAAATGTCACCTTTGGTAGAGCATCTTTCAATGGATTTACGGAAGAAGGCTTATCGAAAACTTGCAGTAGCTCATCAAGTATGGGCTTCATCTGCTGAAGTTCCTCGTTTGAGTAGAACTCATGATCAATATTTTCAACAATTACGTTATTCGGCAGACCACGGAGTTTAGAATGGCTGTCGGTATGTGTACCAGCATCGAGAACACCAATTATCGCAAATGGTGAAAATTTTTCTTTCATATTTCTCATTTTCAAAAGGTCTCTAATTGTCGATTCACAACCAATTACAAAATTAACACTTTGTCCTTTTAACGCAGCCGGGACATCACTAACGTCTAATATCTTTGCCTGGTGGTCAGCGTGCAAATGAACACCATTCTTTGCTGATAGATCTTTAACGGCGAGAACGACGTTATGACCAAGTTCTGCAGCCATGTGTGCCGTTGCTAATCCCATTTTGTCTGTATTTGACGACATACAAACAACTGTTGTGCTTTCCTTGCAACGTATGAAATTACGAACTACTCCGAATGGGACCAAGTAAGATAGGATGATATTGACAACTTCTTCGGGACGCAGGCTGCTTGTCACTTCAACTATGTCTTCATTTCGACAGTGCATCGTTGATTTAAATTCTTTTTCTGTACAAAACCCAATGAAGGATTTATTCTGACTAGATTGCCCACAGAACAACGCAAAATGTTGAGCTTCATTAGAAGATTTACCAGTTGTTTTAATCAAGTGAAAAGCTCCCACCTTTACAGCTACATTGGCAGTGTGTTTGAAATCATCTTCAATTTGATTTTTTGTAAGAAACAATCTCCCACTTTGGACGCTTTGTTCGATGTTAAATTTCCACTCGGAAGACATTAATTTGTATGGAAACTCATCTGCTTTACTTAAAGTAAGGCGAAGTGAATATGCATTGTATGGCCGATCTGTTTTTTCTGTTGGTTGTCGCAAAGCAAGGATGTTGTCGCAATGATCTGTTCTCCAGATGTAATCGATCAACCAGTTTGATGCAGTTCGGTTATCTACATCTGAAGGTAGGTCGATCAGAAAAATCTTCATGCTAGGATCTTCTTGCATAACACAGAGTCCAAAGCCATAGGCTGATGCTTGGCTAGGGTCAACAAGATCATTATTTCTGGCAGGGAATCCATCACGAGTTACAACCCACATATTTGGTCTTCTGCCTTCATCACGCGAGAACGAATTATATTGATCTACGCATAATGCTGCTATCTGTGATTGTTGGCTGAGTAGGTACTCTTTAGAGATCTTGTTGAGTCCATCTTTATTGCCAGCTTTGAATACCATGATGATATTCGACAAAGCGTGCCTGTCATAGCTGGTGTCTGTCGTCGTGATTCCCATGTGCCTAAGGGAACCACTTAATTGTCTAGAAAGCTCTTCATCGTCACCTGTTATGACAGTCGGACCTTCTTCATTATACGATTTGTCTTCAGGGTATATTTGGATCCATTTCTTTTCCCATAGCTTAAGCTCTTCGTATCCGTTTGATGTAGCAACGGGGCCGAAACGGATTTGTTTAAATTTACCAATAACATCATGTGTCTCTGTATCAGCAATGTATACATCTGCAGCAACATCATCTCCATTAGATGTTATAGTGTAGTGAAGCAGTACATTGTCAGGAAATGCAATTTTTCTGAATTGGATATTTTTGACAGATCTTGGGACACGTCCTACAGGTTTTGCAGCAGGATTTAAGACCTTCATTCGTTGACGTTCAATACCAGCCATTCCTTGTAGTATACCATCGAGAAGGGCAGGATGCACATAAAAGCGACTGGACTGTGCAGCCACTGTGTCGGGTGCACGAAGCTGGATAAGTGCCTCGTCAACCACTCGGCTAAAATTTGCCTTCTCAATGCACATGAAACTTTCACCAAGATCGAAACCCACTTGCTTCTTGTTTGCATAGAAACCTGATTTACTCAGCTCTCCAGGGCATCTTTTCAGGATTTCCTCCACGGGAAGTTTTATCTCACCTATTTCTGATTTATTTTCACCTGCTATCAGGTTCATTGTCGTGTGTGTCATCCACTTGTTGTCATTTACATTTAGTGAACGAAGTGCAAAATTTGCAATTTCTTCAGTTTCGAATTCTGTTGTTGTCTCCAATTCAGTTGGCGTGGCAGACATAAAAAGAAATCTGTCAAAATGTAGATCGCAGATCTCGACCTCGGAGGATTTGAAAAGTTTGTAATGTGTGGCGATTGCTACCTCCATAAATCCGGCCGCAGGAAGTACTATACTACCTTGAACAACGTGATCAGCAATCCAAGGCTCTTCATTGGTTCCTACACTGCTTTTCCATACTTTTAGTCTTTTGTTCGCAGCGTAATTAGCTGAAGTTTCTTGTTTCCCAAGAAGAGGGTGGCAAAAGTTCGGATAACGCATGTTTATATCTGCCTTGCTGGTAGCAGCTGAACACAGTACACGCTGCCATGGATACAATGGTAATGACTCTACTTTACATTTCTGGCCGCAAAATGATGGACGCATATCAACTGGGTACCCGTTCACATACATTTGTGCTAGGGAGACGTTAATATTAAGAGCATCATCAGCTGCAGTACTTGTGTCACGCGGTCTCACTAATGAGTGTGTAATAAAGTGGACATTTGGCTTGTTCGGCTTAGACGCAATGATGTCTTTGATCGCCGGAGACAAGGCTGGATGAGCTCCTACTTCAAGGAAGCTATTGTAGCCATCTTTAAGTATAGCTTCTACGGCCTCTTTAAATCGCACCTGCTGACGGATATTGGTCCACCAGTAATCAGACCCATTTGCCTCATTCAGGGTAAGGTAACGGTTAGTGACAGTTGACATCATTGGAATAAGAGGCCTTTGCTCCCTCGACGACTTAGTCTTACCCAAGAAGCTGGATTTTTTGTAGAAATCCTTCATAAGAACTTCCTGTTGACGACTGTGAAATGCATTATTAACTTTTAGAACTCTCGTCTGTATGCCATCTTCGCTCAGTTTAGAAGTAAATTCTTTGATAGACTCAGCCTTGCCAGAAAGCACGATCTGTGAAGGGCTATTGACAGCAGCTACGTCTAAATCAGTCAAGGTTGATTTCAGACGTCTCTGTACATCATTGGCGTCGTGAAGAACTGCAGCCATAGTTCCCGAACCACTTGTCCTTGTAAGAAGATGTCCCCTTGTGAAAATTATTCTGACAGCATCGGTCATAGTAAGGAGTCCAGCAGCGTAGGCGGCTGCAACTTCGCCGACACTATGACCAATAATGGCGCTCGGTGTTACTCCATAATGCTTGTACAACTCAACTAGTCCGATCTGTACGCTACAAATGCATGTTTGAGACATTTCTGTGAAAAAATGAATGAAATAACAACCAGTGAAAAAACATAATAATAATAAAAATCAAGATAGCTGTTAACACTGTTAAATTATATATAAATCATCAAAGAAATGTAAATACAGTGTATTTAGTGTATTAACATATATATATATATATATATATATATATATATGTATATATAATGAATGAAAATGAAAATAATGATAATGAAAATAGCCGTTAACACTGTTAAATTATATATAAATCATCAAAGAAAGGTAAATACAGTGTTCGAATAAATGACATAATAATACATCGTATAGCATAGCTCTCAACGAATGTAGTCCTGTAAATAAATGAATAAAGAAATTGTGTAATAAAATACCTCTGACA